TGCACCAGTGTCTCCTACCTGGTGTTTGAAAGACCTGAGGGAATAATGTTATATCACCTGCAAAAATGGGTTTACACAAGTAGCCTGTGCTTTGTCATCAACTCCTATCTAGTAAAATCCTGGCCCTTCTCTCAGCTATGATTTATTCCCTCTCTCTGAGTATAATCCTTTTTAAAAGTTGTGATGCAAGGACAGTGCTGTTTGTATATTATAAGGCAAGAATCTGAATTTTTAGCTCTCAACCAGTGACCAATTTATTATAAGAAATAAAGACAAACAAATCACATGTTATTGCTACCTCATCACTCCTTAAGTGATTTAACTGACATTTCTCAGTCTGTCCATGGAGTTCTAGTTAGGCAAGCCGGTGGCTACATTGCACCATCAAAAACTTAGGCCATTGTGAAGAGATTAGATAGATAGATAGATAGATAGATAGATAGATAGATAGATAGAATGAATCCTTATTTCCTTAATTTTCCTTCCTAGTACCATCTGCAGATTTCAGCAGGAGAAGAACATCCAGCTGTGTTACGGCTCCAAGTGGAAGATAAAGACTCTCCCAACACTCCAGCATGGAGAGCAAAATACAAAATAGTAAAGGGCAATGAGGAGGAGCAGTTCACCATGGAGACAGATCCAGCCACAAATGAAGGCATTTTGAATGTTATCAAGGTAAGGAGATAATAGCAGTAGATAAGCTGAACGTGGCAATGTGTCACTTGGCCTGTCTGATTGTGAGGTTCAGAGTCAGCTGAGTTGTGCTCAGCTCATGTGTATTCCAGGTAACAGGCCTGGCTGCCAAAACAAAGGTCATAACTGCTAATTAACTGCTAAGAAACTCCTAAAAAGGCATATCTGCTAATTAAACTGCTTTTGTCTGGGGTTTTCAGCCTCTCAGCTATGAAGGTGACCCCAAGATGAGACTTGTCATTTCTGCAGCAAATGAAGAACCTTTCTTCTGGTGTAAAAATGGCACTGTGATGATCTCTGATCTGGAATCCACTAACACCACTGTGAGCATCGAGGTCTTACAGTCACAACGTGCTCCAAGATTTCATCCTCCTATCCTTATTGTCCAAAAGGAAGATTCAATGAAGCCTGGGAGGATATTTAGAAAGTATCCTGCCACATATCCAGATGATGTGCCAAATAAGATAAAGTAAGTGGCAATGTTCCAACTCTTAAGAAATAGGTTAGGGATATAAAGAGGTTTGCAAGTGTAGTTTGGTACCCAAAATGCACTTAAAACAATAACCTGTAATTTTTCCCTTTCTTTTTCAGATATGAACTAGCCAATGACCCAGATGGTTGGCTGAGAGTGGATGAGAACTCTGGTGTCCTTACTGTGGCAAAAGAATTTGATCAAGAATCCTCCTTCTTGAACAACAGCGTGTACACAATTATTGTTCATGCTACTGATCATGGTAAGCAGCCAGTCAGAGAATATCCAGGCAGTCTGGACTGTGAAATGAGGTGCATGTTGAACATAAAGAGATACCAACACAAAGTGGTTAATGGATAATAAAACACCCTAATGTTTATAACTTGTGCTATGTGTGACTGGTAGGATAAACCAGACAGATCCTGCCACAGGACTGGCATTTGTCAATGCCCAGTTGTGAATGTGTTTGTGTTTCTTTTGCTCCTGCCCAGGCAAGCCCCCACAGACTGGTACTGGCACCATCCTGCTTTACTTGTCTGACATTGATGATCATATGCCATCATTGGTGGCTCCTGCTTTAGATGTGTGTGACAAAACAGAAGGGACACCTCTCGTTATAGAAGCCAAGTCTGCTCTGGCCCATTCCCATTCAGGGCCATTTACATTTGAGCTGGCTGAGGACTCTGAAGATGTGAAGTGTAACTGGACATTAGGAAGGAACTTTGGTGAGCGCTTCCTTATGTCTCCTTCCTGAGTTTATTGTCAGTTGTGGACCCTCTGGTTATTTCACTCTTCCCTTTATGGTTTGTTGCTGATGAGTCCCAGTGAGACTGAAACGATGGGAAAGTAGAGCCGTCAAAATATGAATTTATGGCAATTTGTGAAAAGTGACATTGCTCTTCATCTCTGCTGAGGACAGGACCAGCAGCAATGTGCTCAAACTGCAGAAAGGGGGATAAGATAGTTGAGGAACCAATTCTTCACTTGATTAACTACCTAAAGAATTCCAGAGGCTATGGGAGCTGTGCCAGAGTGCAGGCAGGCTGGGACAGATCTCTGCCCTGAGGGCTCAGTGAGGTGATAAGGTGGGATGTAATTTAGTCCTATTTACTATGGTGCATTAAGGCTGGAAAAACTATTTGAAACTGGGGTGCAAATGAGTTTCCTTTATCAACACAAGGGACCATAGAATATTTGACTTCTTTCTGTGAGTCTTGAAATGATTCACTTGTCTTTTTAGGGCAGTCAGTTGAACTTCTGATGTTAAGAAGCCTCCCACAAGGCAGCTACTTGGTGCCCATCATTATTCAGGACAGGCAAGGATTTTCCAGAAGGCAGAACCAGCACATCAGGCTCTGCTTTTGTGCAGATGGACACACATGTAAATATTCACCAGTTCTACCAGCAGGAGTGGGACTTGGAAGTGGTGCCATTGTGATAATACTGATGGCTTTCTTATTACTACTGGGTAAGCAACCTCCTAAGTTAGACGTGCAGGTTCTCTGTCATCTGCCCATTTGGTCTCATTGCAATTGCAGCTCCTGAGCTCAAATCTACTAAAATCATGATTATTTTGCATGTAGAGGATCACTGGCAAATGTAAATTGTCATTAAGCTAAACTCTAGTGCAACATCACAAGTATTTTTATTTGCATTGAATACTTGACTTTTTTGACATTTTCTGTGTCCTGGCAAACTGAAAGTAATGAAATTCTCCCATGCAGGTAAAACTTATTCTAGAGCTGATTTCTCAGCACCAGCTCATGTTGGTTAATGCTGGAGAGAAGAACTGGTGATTCCTTTGCTGAAGAAAGATTAATAGATTATCTGAGTGTTGTTCTCATGTCACCTGTGCATGATTTACTCTGTCTGCCTGCTCAGTCCCAGCACTCTGACCATGAATTCCACCTCCACAGCTGCATTGCTGGGGTTTCCCAAGGGAGCTCCTTTGGAAGTGGGCTGGGAACCTCTCCCACTGTTTTGAGCCAAACCCATCTATTCCCAGTGCCCATTTCTCCTTTCCCTTTGTCCTTTACAGTATCCAGCATTATGCTCTGCCGGTGTTACTGGTCAGGGGCTAAAAGCAAAGCCATTGCTCCACCCCAGGAAGGTGAACAGACTTTAATCACCTACAATGAAGAGAGCAGAAGTGCTTTTTCTGAGGTGAGTGTGACAGCATATATCCACACTACCCCACCAGTGCTGTGTGGCTGAATGTGCTACTGATCATCTCTTTAATTATGTTTCCTCTGGTTTTGCTACTGAGCAAAATTTGCCACTAAGCCTGTCTGGGGAGCTGTGCTCTGCATGGTCTGGATGATGCCACTCTGGTGACAGACTGTTACCACTCCTGCCCTTTTCAGTATCAGCAGGACCTTTCCAGGTGCCTCATCCTGCCAGTGAATCCGCCTGGTGAGGAAGCACAGCACCTCCTGCCACTCTACTGCACACACATCCTGGTGTGTGCAACAAGGGAGTAAATGAGAAAATGGAATAGTCTGCAGAGGTGTGATCCTTCACACTTAGTTCAGTTCCTTATTAACACCATCCCTCCCCCTGTGTGCAGGCTGGGCTGAATATTACACACAGTGCCACTCCAACACCTGTGTCTGTGGAGGCTGGAAAAGAAGTGATTGCTGAGGTAACTGCCTGGCTCTTGATGAAAATGTCCTTTTTTTATACCAAGGGAAGTGGTATCCTGGAAATTAGGTCTGGTGTTAATATGAGTGGGAAGAATAATGCAATATCATTCAATTAGAAAATAACTGTCACTTGTTGGAGTAACTGAAGAAGGCAGAACAAAAGAAATGGATGTAACAGAGGGAAAGATAATTTGAGTTATTTTTAAATGAAAGAAATGTCAGAAGGTGGCTTTATGCTGGTCACACCTGAGATAGGGTGTCTGTCTTCCAGAATGGCTGCTTCTCTGGGTATGAGACATCCCAAGCCAGACACTTGGACTGCTTCATACAGACAGTGGGCAGAGCACTGGCTCAGGTAAGAAATGAGCAGTGAGCTCCTCCTGTGTCAAGTTTTGTAAGCACAGGAGAAAGGGCTTGCAAAACTGGAGAGCTGCTCTGGTTCAAGCTGCTCTGAGCCCACACTTCTGAAGCATTGCAATTGGAAGCAAGGGATATATTTGATGGGAAAGCATTCAAGACTTTGTTGAAAATATATTTTTTTCCTTGACTGAATTGTCCTTCAGTTTGGAGAAGTGGGGCTAAAATTCTTCCTGTACTTGAGCAAGGTTAGAGTTTTGTCACCTGCTCTTGCACTTCTGTGCTGGCAGGAATTAAAATTCCTCTTGCCTTGCCCTGTCTGACCTTACATGTTTATAGTCCTGTCCTTTGCCCTCCTTGGCCAGACTGCAGGCCCTACCAGCCAAGGTCACTTGCCAGCTCTTGGTTCAGGACAGATCAAATGCCCTTTGCTGCCCCATTTTTACCCTGGGGAAAGTTCAGATTCTGGAACTTAGGCAGCTGAGACTTTCTGTAGAATGTTTCCTTGTCAGAGAAAGACTCATATTCTTCCCTGTAAATTCTTGCCTGATTTGCATGCCATAATTTCCTTTAATTTACAAAAGGGCAGTAGGAGCTTTTGTGCTGACTTGCATTGTTTCTCCCCTTCTTTAGAAAGTGTATTACCAAAGCACACTGGAAGATTACGGGGACATGTGTGAACCTTGCAGATACACTGAGGAAGGAGAATTAGAGCCCAGTAACTCCCCCTGCTCCATCTCCATTAGCAGTGAGGACCTGCCTGAGGATTTCTTGAACACTCTGGGACCAATGTTTTGTGCTCTGGAAGAGATCTGTCAGAAGTGATCTCCGGCAGCCAAAAACCTGCTGTGTCTCCAGGGTCCACTGTGCAGGGGTGAGGGGGTGATTTTGGCATATTTGTGCACACTGACACAAGTAAAAGATCTGATATCAAGGATCCTCATTTTGATATGTAAAGTTAAAAAAAACCCAACAAACTAGATCAACTAGGCTTGAAATTCCAGACCGAGTTCCATATGGAAATAAGTCAGTTTTGAAGAGAGAAGGAAATTACCTGCTAGACCAGTGTATAGTCCTTTCTCCAGTAAGTAGCCTCTTTAAATCCAAGATTAAGTTTAGTACAGTGCCATATTTTATATCCTTATATATGACAATGAAACATCGAAGAGAAAGTTCATTTCTCCTCCGAGTTCATGCCCTTGGACAGCTCTGCACCATCCCTCCTTTAGCATGAAAGAGGCACTTTTGGTGTTCGTGTGTGTGCTGGCATCTGCTGGCTGTTGGTATCATGGCACTGCTGTAAATAATACCCTAAATGCTAAGAAATTGTTGTCAGACAAGGTTATTCCTTTCAATGAAATAACTTCCTGCTCTAAATTAGCCAGAAGTGCCTCTGAGGGGGAAACTCGTGGGTTTCCTCAAGCACTGCTGATAAAACAGATGAAATGATAAAAAAGGGATGGTATCAAATTTCCCTATCAGGAAACCACAGATGTGTTATTTTTAAATTTTGAGGTTAGGACATGTCTGACATTGAACTCTGCTCAGTTATGGCACGAAGGCTGTTGGTCTTACAATGCAGAAATGAGGGAAGAACAGCTCAGGAGATTGTGTTCTGCCATTAGGTAAGTTATACATGCAGGAAGTGGTGGAATTAGTTACAAATCTTACTCCTGTTCTATTACAGTTTTGTGCTGAAAGAAAAATGCTTTGCCCAAGGCAAGTACTAAGTCTGGGAGTTAAGACATTGTTTTTGTGTTTCAAAGTTTACTTAAACAATAAATTATGCTTTTGCTCAGATATTATTAATATTAATAATATTAATATTAATTAATATTAATAGTTCCAGGCTGGGAACTTTTGTCAAGTGTGATAAAAGAATGTGTCTGAGTGGCAGGCAGCCACGTTGTCCTAAATGCCAGCAGCAAGATCTGTTTACACAGTAAATCACTCCTGTGGTAAACTGTCCTTATAATTCCAGATGGGAGACTTCAAGTCAGGCCAGTGATTCAGCAGCACTGCTAATACCTGAGGTGACATTTTTATTGCAGATGATAACCATATTGGTAAGGCTAGAGTTATGCTCCTCTGAAATTTTCTTCTGAAAATTGCACAAGGCTGAAAATAATCATGGAAGTGTTCTGTGTGTTTCCTCATGGTGGGTTTGGAGCACACCATGCCTGTGTGTGTGATGTGATCAGACCCACAGTTGCTAATGTTGGTAAAGTTCCCTCTTGCATGGGACTAAGAAACGTGTTTTAATGGAACCCTATTTCCTGGGAAATGAGAATGTTCCCTGGAGGATCTCACAGTTGCATACCCTGTGCCCACACAGGTGGGAACATTCAGTATCTCAGCTTCAGGAATCTGAAGACTTGCACACACTAAGCTAACACAGCTTCCCAGCACCATTGTGACATAATGATGCAATGCTTACACTTTAAACAGCAGAAATTTAGGCTGAAGGAGCTGCTTGGTTGACCACAGTCACACAAAGCTGTGGCAAGCTAAAGAGTGGCACTTACCAATGCTGCTGCACAAGAATCCTGCCTTTCACCAAAGATTTTGACACTTGCAGCAGCTCTTAGCCCATTCCTTTTGAGCAGACCTGAGGGAAATGTGCTCTGCTGTGGTCATATCAAACCAGTACAAATCTCTGCAGTCTGGGAGCCAACAGTGGTGGAAACAGCAAATAATTAAACCCTTCATTTTACAGATAAAGGACAGATGTACAGCAATTCTAAGTCAGCTTCTGCAATCAGAAAGAGACTTGTAGAACAGATCTGGATGCTCAGAATCCCCTTTTGTCACTGTAATAACTGAAGGGATGCTCAGAATCCCCTTTTGTCACTGTAATAACTGAAGTATCATTATATTCACAATTCCCACCAAGCCCTTTCATTTATCCAAGTACCTAGCCAAAAATATTCCTCTTTTTTTTTCCACTATGCATTTGCAGTCAGTAATTTAGTGATTTGACACTTGAACTCCTGTTAACAATCACTGAATACTTTTATGTAGGCATCTGAAAGCTGTTATGAATCCTGTTGCCAACACAGGGACAGGAAATCTGTCATACATCAACTGGAGGGATCTGGAACACCGCAAAAAACTCCAGCACTAAGTCTGGGTTGTAGGTATGTGTGTTAGCTCCATATGACAATTACTTCTTTCTCCATCTGTGCATTAGGTTTGAGATGACATTTTTCCTCAAAGGGGAGTGAAGGAAACTTTAATGAGATTATTATCTCCCATTGTTTTAAAAACTAGGAACTTCTGCTTGAGACACCACTAAGTTTTTAGAGGATTTTGGCAGAAGGGAGGCCCAGGCTGGTGAGGAACAGCTTCACTAACAAACTACTACAATCAAAAAGGTTTATTTAGAGGCTTTCATGAGGAACAATTATAACTAAGAAGTGAAAATGAGGCATGAACCAATTCATTTCTCCCCTACATCACACATTTGAGGCAATCACACTTTGAAGGCACTATTGCAGGCAGCTGCTCAGTGAATGTCTCAACCATGTGAGGCAACACCAGGAGACAAACCAAGAGGGAAGAGTCGGGGGCAGCAGGTTTACTCATGCCACACCTCGCTCTGAATCTTGCCATGGTGCCTGCCCCAGGCTGCTCACAGGTTGGGCCTGGCTGCTGCTGCCCTGTCCACAGGGTGTGAGGAACCATCAGTGTCCCATCACCAAGGGAGCTTCCACAGCTTTACCTGGAGGTTGATGCTCTGTCCCTGCTGGATGCACACCACAGCAAACCTGGGCTGTGGATTTGTCCTTTAGCGCAGGCAGGTGCCAGGATTCTTCCCAAGGCCCCTCTGCTTGTGCTCTCCATCCCCAAGGCAGGCAGAGGACTCGATCAGTGCCTACAGGCCCAGCCCCGAGCTCTGTGCGCAGCCAGCTGTGCGTTATCCACGGCCCCAGCTGTGCGTTATCCACGGCCCCAGCTGTGCGTTATCCACGGCCCCAGCTGTGCATTATCCACGGCCCCAGCTGTGCTTTATCCACAGCCCCAGCTGTGCGTTATCCACAGCCCCAGCTGTGCATTATCCACGGCCCCAGCTGTGCATTATCCACGGCCCCAGCTGTGCGTTATCCACGGCCCCAGCTGTGCGTTATCCACGGCCCCAGCTGTGCGTTATCCACGGCCCCAGCCCGGGCTTGGCTCAGTCCCGCTGGCACAGGCACTGTGAGGAGCCTCGGGCTCCTTCTGGCTTTAAACTAAGCACCTCCATGGCTTTAAACTAAGCACCTCCATGGCTTGCTGTTTTCCCACTGCTGTAGTGTTTCAATTACCTGTTCACAGTGAGAGCTCTAATCAGGACTCCTGCGAGCCCCCATTACTTCTGGCCCCTGCTGTGCCCAAGCCAGTGGGAGTCCGAGCAGCACAAATGTTTATCTCCGCACAATCTTCATCTCTGTCTTTGTTTTGCCTCGTTTATAAAGAACTTACTTAAAAGCAAATGACACACAATCAGTAAAGGGGAAATTAATCAGGCTGGAACCAAAGTTCTGACACGGAGTTTTAAAGGAAACAAGAGACACTGATCACAGGCTGGTCCTACAGAGAGGGGATGTCAGCACATCAGCGATAAAGTCTTTTTGTCTCAGACAGAAAGCTTTTCCCTCTGCTATTTCCTCTACTCTGCTGAGCAATGGGATCCCCTGGGATCTTTGGGCTGCCACAGAAGGAGTATGAGTTTTAATCAAATCTTTCTCTGCCAGTTTGGGGTCATTTTCTTCCCTCTAAAAGATCCATTTGTCCTTATTAAGGAATTACAAGAAGTCACTTAAAGGACAGATAAATGACAAGAGATTTTATAAGTGAAGGGGAAACCACATGCTGAGAGGGTTATAATTAGTTCCTCCTATTAGTGCCTTAGGTGTTGTTGTATTTCACAATCCTAATAATTAAACACTTAGTAGCAGAGTGTTAGATTAGTATTTAAACCCCCCCAGACCAAGGTGGAGGCTTCTCTCAAGGTTTTCTGGGAATGAGCTCGGAACACACACTCCTAGCTCTTGTGGTAGTGGCAAAGTTTCCCAACTGAGTTCAAAGGCCGTGATCACCTTCAAAGAAACTGGAAATAGGCTTTTCCTTTTTTTAACATGTGCTGATGCTGACAACTGAGAAAAATGAGAGATTTATGCCATTACAATGGCTTTCCTTTTCAGCCTGTAATAGCTCTTGGAGAGAAAAATGGTGATTGGGGAAAATTGAGGGAAGGCACATGCAAAGTGCAGTCGAGCAGGTGCTGAACATCCCTTCCTTGCACTGCTTCTGCTCTGCACTCCCATTATTTCATACTTTCCAAAAGTGGTGAGAAGCCTTCACAATAGAAACATCTGCTCCTGTTAGAGAAACATGGCCCGATGACCTGGGCCTGCCCAGGACCCCTCCTTGGTGCCTGGAATAACAAAACTCTCAAGGTCTACTGTAATTACTGAATTCTATCCTGAATGCACAGTTCTTAGGGACATTTCTCAAAAAACAGAAGGCACTGAATAAACGTGAATATTTGATATTTCAGATGCCCACTTCGTTTTCCCTAACACTTGTAGGAATCAGCTAGTTCCAGTTACTCTGTGAGGTGTGAACTGAAACTCAAATTCACAAAGTATTTTTTACTCTGAAGGATAAATCCCACCATTTTCTCTTCTCTGCCTGTGCCACCTCTCCCACCGAAGATGCTGCAGTAAAACCCAGCTTGCAAGAAAACCATTCTATTCTAGGGAAAATGAAGCAAAACGAGGTTCCAGAAGACAGTGAAGGCCCTTCAGCCTTTTTCCCTGTTCCCTGGACAGGTATAATGACCCAATGTGAGACTTGGCAGGAATGATGAAATGAATGACTAGAACAGCAAAGCTGAAATTTCCAGAAACTCATACAACATCATCTACTCTCTGTAGGTTCTTTTTCTACTTGCATCAGAAATGGAGTGTCCCACAGCAGTTATTTCCAGTAAAATATTTTGTGACACAGCTAACATTTGTTCCTTCTTTCTGATCGTCCCCAAGAGATTAAACCCCAGTTTTTTGAGCAACTGGAGCTCCCATTAGCAAAATATCAGTACAAAAAAGTATTTCTTTTTTTTTAAACACAACTTCACTAGATATATCAGTATTGTGGGGACTGCAGTTACAAAGACCTTTCTGGTAAAATCTACTGATTATGTATAATAGTTGAATATGACATGTTATTAATAATTCTGTAGCTTTCAAATTGTTCTAAATTCTGTAAAATAAGAAAAAATAATAGTTCAGGGATTCAATTAGCAAATTATTTCAAGGCACTGATAATTATTAATGCTGCTTGAGAGAAGCTTTCCCTGTGTAGAGACAGTTCTGTAATTACCCAGGAGATGGCATAAGTAGGCCAGTTATCGACCTCTCAGTATCAAGGAGTTAAACCAAGGAAGGATTATTAATACCCTATTTGAAAACAAATCTACTTTCAAAATGTGGATTTTGATATGGTCAGTGGAGAGGAGGGTTTTTTTCTCGAGAAAAAGTCCTTTCCTCATCAGTATCACACAAGGAAAGGGTCACTTAACAGCTATAGAGCAGCACTGAGGAAAAGGACTGGGAGGAGGCCAATATGAAAATCTTAAGCAGATATTCTGATTTTCCCCCCTTAAGCTATCTCCTTTATATAGAAAACTTTCTATTTGTCCACTGTTTTTTTTATGAAGAAGAGACACAGCAATGACTGGTAAGAAATATTTCAGCATTGTCCTCTGTCTACCTTATTCCATCCTGTTTGCTTTTCCAAAGGGTTTTATTCAAAGAATTTCTGAAAGTATAGAGGACATGGTAGAAAATCCTTTAAAACCAACAAATGAACACTTTCAAGAACAGAGATGGAATTAATATTTGCATCTGGCCTTCAATATGTAACTTTCTAGATGAGCATTTTACATATTCTGATAAATATTTTCACTATTCAAACCTATCAATCCCATAAACAGAATGGATGCTCTGCACACTATGGAAATGGTTACTTCATAAAAGAAACAAAAATTCAAGATCAGTTTCCCTTTCTTCGTTCAGTGTTTCAAAATACCTAATTCATGGCTCAGGGGGACATTTGACAGTGTCAAACTGCAGTTCCTGATGATATAAATGTGCTTGGGGTTAATCTGAAATTTCCTAACTTGAAATCTGCTGCCTGTCACACTGAGGTTATCGTCCAGAAGTGAAACCACAGAGAAATGCAATTAAACAAGAAACCCTTCCTTGGACCTGGGGTCAAACCCTGAAAATGCAAATGCTGAAAGTGATCTCGATAGACTTTGCATTCACTTTTTGTTTTTCCCTAGGCATTTGCAAGGTGCCACAGAATGTCATAGTTGAAACCTCTCCTCGTGAAAGGGCAAGAGCTGAGTTAGAAGAGTTATTGCAAATCAGCTCAGTGATGTAGGGGGATTTGTAAACAGCTGGCAAGGCGAGCACCACAGTTCTAAATTCTGACTTAATTACAAGGAAGTGATAAAGGTACCATGTCTAGGATTAGGGGGGATGAGCACATTAATATAAAAGAGAAGAAAAAATACTAAACTTGCCTATTTCTTTCAGAACTGAAGATCACCAGTTCATCATCCTTCCTGATCTCCATCAAAGTTCAGTGAATCTTATCCATGGATTGTGTGGGCAGGTGGCATTTTTAGTCCTTGACAGAGCCTGAAAGAAGAGATTTTAGTCCTTAATTAGGGCTTCAGGATGCTTCTGCAAGAAAAGCAGTAACAGACACAGAACTACTGTTTGTGCTTTTGAAATTTTTTTGGACATATTTTGCAGGATATCTGTGAAAGGCTGGTTTGTTTTTTTTTTATCCTGTAATATTTGCTTCTTGCCCAGAATAGCTTCTCCATAGCCAGAGATAGGAATCTCATGTTTAAGAGCATCCATGTTTCTGTTTTCATTTTGTTTAAAAACCGTCAGCTATAGCCAGGACTATCATAAACCCACAAAATCTCAGTCCAGTTCAGCTTGTCACCTTGCCAAGAATGCTGCTTAGATTAATACAAACACCACCAGACTACTTAATTGAATTGCATTTGGGAGAGATAAGGAAAAGAATACAAGGTGATTGTGGAAGCTGCACCAACAAATCTTGTAGAGCATGTTACAGAATTTTATATGGAAAAAAACATAGCAAACATATTACAAGGCACTGGCACTCACAGTTGCTCCTAGCAGAAAGGCAACATAAAGAAATGGCTTTTAGGGTAGATCCAGGAGTGTATCCTGGATCCTGCAAAGCTGCTGACACAGGCTGTAACTGATGGCAAACCAACAGAACCTGCCATCCCCGTGTCTCAGTACTGACAATGTAAAAGGATTTTTTCGTTTAGAAATTCATTTGAAAGCAGTGGTGACAAGTGAAGTCCTATTTCCATCTACAGTGGAAAAAAATTCCCACTCCAGTGGCTGATTCTTCTTTTTGTTATTTTAGGGAAAATCAGGGATGATTCTGGCAAAGCCAGAGTGATGGAATGAAGCAAATGGAGAGGATGGGCCCTCAGACATTTCTTGGTCAGAGCATCCCTGACTGTGACCAGGACACAGCAGGAACCACGTCTTGCTGAAGAGAGGATGTTTTGAAAAGTTTATGTTCAAAAGGAGACACATGGAATTGGGAAAAAAACCCAGGCTTAACTTTCCCAAAGATCTTGGAGGATGAGAAAGTCTGGACTGTAGAATCTGGGCAGCTCCTTATGCAGAGATGCTCAGAAATCACAGTAGAAAGAAGTATGTCCTCAAATCACAATTGGAATAAGCAAGGAGAAAGAATTCAGGGATGACTCAATGCTAAAACTGGAGGGGTTAAATGCTTGTTAGCAGAGCCCTGTCATGGGCAGGCTGTAATTGCAAACACAGACATCACTGCCTCATGCATGGAAGAGCAGAGCTGCAGAATCCCTCTCCAGACACAGCACTGGCCCCTCCCAAGAAAATCAGGATCTCAGGTGCAGGAGACAGTTTGTGTTTGCATCTTGTTCCAAGAGGACAGGAAAAGGTAATTGGAGCATGCATCCATCACAGGAGCTGGGAAGCTCTGCCAAGGCCAGTAATTAAGAAATGAATTCAGTTTTCTTGCTTGAAGATCCAGGTGGCTCCAAAGCAGAGTGAGAGAGCAAAAACCACTGTGGTATGATGGATAATGGGGAAGGTTTGGCTCCAGGCTGAACTGAGAATCTAAGCTAATGCTGCTGTATGCACCCAGCTATGGTATTTAAAATAAAGTGCCCTCAGCATGAGGGGAAAATCAGGAAGGTTTGTGTACCAGCACAACTGATCCCCAACTCTGAAAATCACCCTGTGTGAGACTCCTCTGTGGCCCTGGGCTAGTGACATGCAGCCGGATTTTAATAAACTATTCAGCATCTACCTCCACTGGAATTAGTGGAAATTAAATGTCATAAATCTGTCTATTACATCTCTCCAGCTGTGAAATGGGAACTGTCCTTCCTGCCTCAAAGAAATACTTCCAGAGATTCTGAAGTGTTTTGACAGGGCAGTAATAGGAAGTGTGCACTTATCCTAAACAGAAAAATGAAGTTTCCTCAACTGATGCTGTGCTGATGTGCTGAATAAATATTGTCTTTAGGTTTTTTGCAATATTCAGGTTTATGAGCCAAATGAAAGCCAGGCATGGATGGTATTTTTAATGTGCTGAATAAATATTCATCAAGATATTCATCAGGATATGCATTTTAAAGATCCAGTATTATTTATAGTCTGTGCTTTCATGTAGAGAAGCCAGTTTTATGGGAAATGAGGAGGAAAAGTGACACCTTGCTAAGAGGTTGCTGGATATTTGCTAACAAGACCATGATGAGGGTGAAACAATCCTGTGCTTGACTTGAATGGAGAGTGTGGGAGTTGAAAAATCGAGATTTATTTCAGTATCATGTGGAACTTGGATGGGTAACTTTAGGCATTCAAATAGTTTATGCAAGAGACTGGCAAACATCAGAGTGAGACATTCACAGAAACAGGTGAAAAACCCAAACACACACATCTACTGATTTAAAATCCCAAGATCTTTCAATGTAGGTGGTTTTAACATGGCAAAGGAACATCATTATTGGGATTTTTTTTAATGCTCAAGAAAGGCTTTTGCACAGCCAGTAGCAACAGTGTCTCTCCTTCCCCCAGGACAACTCAGGGATTGTTTTCAGTTTGTGCTACAGTATACATTCCATCATTATTTGCCTCTAAAAATGAAAAATAGGTCAAGAAATTGCAAGGTGAATGAGTTAATATATAAGCCATTTCCATATTCAAGTGCTATACAACTGAATACCTTCCATTTAATTATGAGGCAGTAGAGTCGGTGCAACGTGGTGACATTAATCATTACAATACTGAAATTTTGTTACCATGGTGTGTCTTTTAAGAGGAAACTATTTTAAGATGTAAATTAACTTTGCCTTAGAATTTCCCTCCTCGCACTCTCAGACAAGCAGTAATCACAGTTTGTAGGCTCAGAGACATTATTAAATGCTCTCATCAGAGCTACATCCATCCTTGTTTTGGCCCCATTGCAAAGCCTTCCCATTTCCTTGTCTCTTTGCACTTTATAACAGATATTTTAGCAGTCAGGAGATGTTATGCAGTGACAGCTACGAGCTTGAATATCCTTTATCTAAAATGAAAACTCATAAAGCAGGCATCAGTTCCCTCCCTGTGGCCAGCCCGACTCTCAGGGCAGCAGGATGTGTCTCTCAGCCCTGTTTGTTCTCCCTTGCAAAGGAACACAGCATTTTGTGCACATGCAGATATTTACAAGAATCTACCCATAAATCCCACAAATCAAACTGAATCTTCCCCCAGCACTGCAGATCTGTCTACATCACTCCCAGCTCTTGGGTTTATGTCTTAAGGTGTAATTTAGGCTCTCAGAGCTGGACAGCAGCACTGAGATGATGGACTGGGGCGATTTCTGGAATCAAACCAACTCCTGGGGAGACAGAGCTGGGAATAAAGCCTTGGATCAGGCCCAGGTTAGAGATGCTGAGGAAGCATTTCTGGCTGTGCTGAAGGTCTGCTGGAGAGATGTGGTCAGGGAGCAGGCAGGAGTAAAAAGTTTTTTTGGATGTGAGAAACTGGAAGAGATGATATCTTTTAGGCAGAAGCTTGTGACTGTAAATCTGTATTAAAGTCATCATGGCCATATCCACAGAGCTGAGTTTTCCATTGAGATGCATTTGATTACTCATCCTGATTGTGACCACAAAACAGTACCTGGAAGTCAGACTAGATTATTGTTATGGCTATGAAGCAAATATTCTGTTACTGTAAAGGGCAACCATTTTGTGCTTCCTGAGCTGAAAAACTATTGTCAATAAGTTACGAATTCAGACTAGAGCCTGAGGGAGTCAGACACTCAAATGCCATTGAACTTCATAAACAGCTGAGTGCTTACATCCTTTAGGCTCCCAAATCCTTCCCTTAAATTACAAATCTGGTCTATAAACACAAAAATCTAATAGTTTGAAAGAAAGGTTTGCAATAAAGTATAGATCCAGCCTAAATCCTTTGTTCATGAGTTGCTGATCAATATACATAACTCCAGTGTCAGCTCATCACTTGCAAAATCCTTTGACCTTGAACTGTTTTTACTTTTTAATTTCACTTGCTTAATTTTTTGTTGCCAACTAGCTGAATTGAAGCTCTCTGAAATAAAAAAAAGTCATATTATTATTATTTCTATGTTCACTGTCTCTAAGCAAGTTGAGAGTTCTGTACCTTTTTGCTTACAGTCAAATCCCTCTTGCAGAACAGTTGCAAAGTTTTCTGTGTAGTCATCTGAAGCACATTTTCAGCCTCTAATCTCCTGCTGGAGTGAAATTCAAAGCACAATGGACTGCGTGGGATTCCTTTCTTGGATTTGTTTTGCTTTTAGTGGAACTTCAGCATTTCTGCCTTTTGACTGGAATCCCTTTGTCCTGTCCCACCCATCAGAGAGGTCATGCCAAGCTCCTTTTGGCACAGAAATGCCATTTTGCTGTGAAAAAAGGGAACTGCATGCAGCACACTGTGCATTTGCATAACCTCTTTAGTAAGAGTTTGTCAAGAATCCCTCTCGCTGTTATTTCTGTATTGTTCTCTGTCTCGCTGAGAGAACAGTGCAGTTTCTAAGGATGCAAAATGATAGCTCTGTCTGGCGTATGATAGAATATTAAATACATTATTAAATCCAGCTACTTCTGAGAGAGTTCTTCCAGTACTTGTCACTTAAGGGTTTGTTGAACCCCCACAAAGCACATTTTCAGAGAACTGAGTGCAGTTTCTCTTGGTAAGAAAATTTTGAGGTGCCTTTTCTCTTTTTCTCACTTTGGTTTGCTGAGATGATTATCAGACATGTAAAAAGGTTTTATTTTGCTAAATATCAACACATTCAACTGCTTCATTACTTTTAGCTTCTGATCTTAATCAAGATTAGACCACAACACACCTCTGGAACCTTTAGCAAAATACCAAGTGCCTTTTAGATTCCCTGAACCTCTATTTATTAAAACACTTTCACGACCATGCAGGACAGCTGAGGGAAGAACAACTATTTAACCAAACATCCATACACCTGCACAGAGATTTCAGTCTATTTTCTACCTATTCTGAGAGGTCTTCTGCATATTTTAGGTTGGCACTGAGATGCTGGCTGTGCACTGATGGTTGATGATGTTGAGGTGCATCTACACTGTTATAAATGCATATCATATTATTATCTTTTTGCAAATATTATAATGAATGTTATATGTATAAGATTAGAAAATTTAGCTGTATTAATATAGTTTCCTTTATTTCTGTTATTGATGAAACTTAGAAATAGTGGCATAATACATATATGTTAAGTTATGGCATAGTATTAAAACAAAAACTACTTTTGTTTGTATAACCCAAAGAAAAAGATAGAGACCCCCACCTGCATTCATAAACAATCTTATCCAGATGAAGACCGCCTGACCAGAGTTCTGGGGGAGGAATTTATTGCATTTCTGGTATCAGGGAATGTAAATCTCAATGGCGCCAAGAAGATTGATCTATTGGGATGGGGGCAAGAGAAAACTAAACAGAAGAACACCAAAAATCTTAAGAAGAATGTATGAATATGTATGAGAATTTATAGATATGTAGTAGGGCTCTGTTTTTAAGAGACAATCCTTTGTTAGTAAGGTGTGCTCTCTTGGCTGAATGCAGAGACACCCGGCCGTATCTGTATACTTTACTTCATTTCTATCTCCTAATTGTCTTTCTATTAAACTTTTAAATTCTCTAAAAAAAATAAATATGTGAACCTCGTTTTTCACCCACACTAAGGTGGGAATTCCTGGCTGGGCTGGGGTGCTCAGCAGGTGGCACTCGGTGTCTGGAGCACACAGACGGTGATGGTGCCTCTTTAACCAGGGAACAGAAGGCAGCCAAGCTCGCCACGTGCAGAATTAACCGCTCAGAATATGTAATCACTAACTGCAGATCAATTTAATTAGTGTCCTGTCGCCGTGTGCAGCCACCCTTTTGATCTATATCCCCTCACACATCTCTGCTGTGGCTGTCCCAGGGTTCACAAAGAGGAGTCAGAGGCTGGGAGTGGAGCCCTGGCAGTGCAGGGGTCAGCACGGCTGTGAAACCC